GGAAACAAAATGCCAAAATGTCAGAGTGGTATTGGAGCAGAAATTTTGAGACATGGCTTGAAGCAATGATGGAGCACCTGGTGGGAAGGCAGGGCCAACCCAGGGGAGCTCAGCTGCATGCAATGCAATGCACTGATTGACCTGAAGGGCTGGAGCCAGGACCCACCCCTTCCCAACCCTTTTAAGGGCTGGCATTGGAGATGTGACTATCTCCCTGAAGATCCCTGTGTACTTGAGGCTTTGTGAAGGTAAGCAGCTTCTTTCCTTTATTTCTGTACCCCTGGTTGTTGTGTCTCAGCAAATCCTCGCTTGCTGCTGCCTGGAGCTTTGCTTCTCTGCTGTTGTTGCTGCATTTTCCATTGTGTTATAGCATTATAAGTGTTAACATTTTAAGTTACTATAAACACAGAACTGGAAAAAAATAAGCATGCTGTAAAGAGTCAGACTGCATTATGAAGCAGAGTAAGTGTGCTGCTGTGGCATCTTGATGAAAGATAAAGTAGAAATTGATATATGTACCTGCCACTTTCTTTGTGCTCACACTTCAGAGCGCTCTATTGAGCAATGAGTTGGGGTTACATCACAGAGCACAATCATACAGAGATCCTGAGATTCTCTCAGAAAGCTTTGGAGGAGTGTTATGGGTTTCCAGGCAGGGGATCAGAATGGTGTATTCAGGTGTGCGTGTATATCCAGTAAATTATTCAGCCACTAGATGTCCTAATGTGTGGAGCTGCAAATCCAGCATGAGCAGTGATGTACAGAAATTACAAACCTGGGACTCAGTGCTGATTATCTGCATATTTTTAGCTCATGGATTTGCAATTCCTAGAAAACTGCTGAAGAGGCTCTAAAACACAACCAAAAATGAGGCTCCAAAACACAACAACAGGTTTGCATGCAGGCTGTGACTGGCTGATTAATTGCCTTCATGCACACAGGTTGTACTTGTATACTGGCTTAGCAGATGCTGTAGCTACTCAGTCTGTTAAGGATTGTGTCTAAGTACCACGTGGCTGGATCCAGTACTGCATCTTGCTGCTAAATGTTGTTGTTTTTCCAGATCGTATTATTTTGAGAGATTTGACAAACCCAAAGAAATATGGGTCTACTGCTAAAGGAAATGCAGTGTTAAAATCCTGACCTTATGCAGATGAGTGAGAGATGTAACACGGGAGGAGAAGAAAATGATGAAATTCAGCTGATTTTTTTTTTTTTTAATTATTATTAATTCCTATGTTATAAGCAGTGGAAATGCCATGCCTTCATCTCGCAGCTGCTCTCTCTGCCTGTGAGAACCCCCAGCCATTTACCTGCAAGATGCGTGCAGTGAAATTCCATGTTGCTGAGGGATGCTCTGTGCTCAGGAAGAGCTTTTGAGCCAGCCCTTATTGTAGAGATGAAGAAATGGCTGGGCAGAAGGAGCACCCAGCTGTTGTTTTTATTGCTGGCTTAACTGTGTATTATTCAAGCAGGGTTGGGTTGGAGGTCTGTGTTCTGTGACTATCAGGTGGTCCAAAGCTCCTCACTCACATATCCATGCACTGGGATGAGAAGGTTCTGTGGAGTGGCAGATAGAGTCAATCACAAACTTGAGGCCAAAGGATCAAGATGGATTTCAGCTGCTTTTCTGCACATTCGTGTCTCATGGAGTGCTGCACTCAGCTGTTACCTCCTGCTGGTTCACCTGCCCTGGTACTGTCTGAGAGAAGCAGTGGGTGCTGAGGCAAAGCATGGTGTTATTTTGGGGCTTTTATCTTAACCAATTTTCAGTTCCAGTTTCGTTTAGAGAATTGTTGCGAGTGAGAGAAGGGGAAGAATAAATAACCAAAATATGCAAAGAGTAAATAGGGCTTTTATTGGCTTCTGTGTGCTTACAGCAGAGCCCATTCAGAGTTCTTAGTGTAATTTCATTAGTGATTTGTTGTTACAGTTCTTGCCTGCTCATGAATTATTTACCTGTTGTACAGGTGTGAGTATTTGCATTAGAGCCAACTGGTGCATGTGTAATGTTCTCTGTGAAGTACATCAGTGGGGTGGGTGCATTTATTCTCCTTTTATCATTCCATCCATTATGCATGCAGTTGTACACTTATACCTGAGGTGGCATTTGAATATGGAATGTTTTTTAGTTGCAAGAGCTGCAAATTGAGGCCAATTCCTTTCTACCTACTCCTGAGAACGTTCCAGCAGTGACCCCCAGCCTATTATCTGATCCCAGGTGATGTGAATTCTGATCTAACTCAGATCACCTGTGGGCTCCTCCAAGGCTGGACATGAAATAAACAAAATGTCATCACCTGCTGCAGATTTCTGTGCTGTGCTTGGGCAGAGAGAGGGATGGGAGCACCTTGGAAAACTCAGCTGGAACATTTTGCTGAGCTGCTGGTGTGGAGGAGGGAACTCTTAATATTTTCCTTCAGACTGCAGTTGTGTGGTTTATTAAAAATTACTGGGGTGTTGACACATACCAGGGAGAAAAGCTGCTTTTGCAGTTGTTGAAGTTCATGTGGTTGAAGGCTAGAAATCCATAGACTCTTCAACTATCTTCATGGCACAGTAAGAGGTGCAACCTGAAATGCAGAGATGTGGGGAAAACCACACTGAGTACACAGGTGGCAGAACTGATGGCTGCAGATTCTGTCTGTCCTTCTGGTTGGTGCTTTTGTGCTGTGTGTGGATGTGGTTGGAACCATTCAGGAGGGTTCCTCTGGTTTGCTTTGTTCCTTCTTGCCTTTAGTTTTTCTTTGAACTTCGATGCTTCTGCTGACAGACTTTCAGTTTCTTGAAAATGTAGAAAGCCAGATGTGAAATACGGAGTGTGTTAGAAAACAAATATTGCTGCCAAGCTTAACCATTGAAATGCAAGGGATGAACAAACTTCTTCCTTCCAGCATTCTCAGCTTCTCCATTAGTGTTTCCCCCACTTGCCCCAGTAATGCCATGAATCCCCTCTGACTGAATTCCAGATGCACTTTCCTTCTTGCTCACTCCCTGATATCAAAAGGCAGATCCTCCCTTCCCCTTTAACTTCCCTCTGGTTAAACCTCAGTGTGAATTGCAACTATATTTCTAACAGAGGTGGCTCATTGGGCTGCCAGAGCAGATTTAGAGCTTTGTTTCTGTAAGGTGCTGTACTTCCAGTGTGCATCAGTGCTTAAAGAACACATGGTTTCATCTGCAGCTCAATTTCACCAGCTCAGAGGTTGCTGCATTCTCCCCACTGAGGTCTTTTTTTTTTTTTTTTTTTTTTCTTTTTTTTGTAGAACACTTTGCATCTTTGCATGTCAAGTGCTCTGATTGAAGTTACCAGCTGCTGCCCTTCTCTGCTTATGCTCTCTTCTTTCCCGTCCTAATAGTTCTATAAACTGAGAACTCGGTATTTTAATCCAAAGTGCCAAACATTGACTCAGTGGCATGGGCAGAAACGGTCTATGAGCTGAACTCAGAGCACGTGGCTGTATGGAATGGATGTCCTTGGAAGTAGGGCTGTGGTTGTTGACATGCAAAGGCTTAAAGAAGCACAGGAGATGCTGTAATGTGCAAAACCATTCCTGTGTGCCTTCCTGATTGTGTTCCTTTGTGGCTTTCTGTTTGTTGTTATTCTTTCGGAGCCCATTGGCCATGGAGATGACCTTAGGCTGTTGAAGAAAATGTATTTTTCATGTGCTTGCTCTCAGCCTTCGCCACTCTGCTCTTGATTGTGGTCAGGAAAACGCATGACAGAAAAGAAATAAGAGAGCTTCCGATGTGATGTTCTCAGATATTGATTTATTTTTTTTTTCCCCCTCTTAAAATTCTGTTTACAAATTCCTGTTGCTTTAATTATGTGTTTCTGGCTGAAAGCAGTACAAAGCTTGCCTGCAGGACCAATTGATAAGCCTTCATTCTAAGTCCATGTAGCTAATCCTACTGTATTTCTCCAAAACTCACCGGTCAGGGATTTCTGAGCACTTTGACAGGAGCAGCCGAGCACCCTTAGCATGTGATGCAGGTGGAGTAGGGCGAGGTTAATAGATGAACTCAAAAATAAGGAATACAGCCCCTCCGCTGATTCCTGTGCTCCTGTTGCCTAGTGCAAATAGGGCTTATCTCCAAAAGAATGGCAAATGGAGAACAAATACATTATCTTAGATTTTATGTCTTTGCTCACTGGTGCACGTTGTGATGCATTGACCTGGAGCGTGCCACGCTTGGCTTCCACAAAGAGGATTCGGAGTCACGGTGGTACGAACCCAATCCCTTTACCCTACAGTTGTGTAGGAGCCTCACGGTGAGCACTTTGTTAGCAACGCTGTGCTCTGAGCGCCTCGCTTTTTGCCACCGCCACTCCCTGCGGATGCACCGAGTCCTGAAACGCGTGGGGTGCAGCTCCCTGAACCCCAAAGCTTTGCTCCTCCTCTGCCTGCAGCCGCTTTGCACCTCTTAACTGCCTAAGTAAGGCACAGCGGCTGTACCTGAGCACACCTGGGCTTGTTGGCCCTTCTGTGCACCGAAATAGGTGGTTTGCAGCGAGCCGGGGGGAAGGGAGCGTGCAACAGTGCCCCTCACGGCAAGGAGAAGCACGCTTGGGCCAGGCGCTGTTAGTAAAGATGGCACAAGCGCTGTTTGCTTCGGGCTCAGGCGCTGCTCCTCGCGCACCTGTTAAGGGCGGTGCTTTGCTAAGGAGAGCGTGGCTGGAGGGAGGGGGAGAGGCAGGCAGGATGCGCTCTACTCCCACCCCCTCCGCTCTCTGCTCGGCCCCGAACACCGGAGCTCTTCGGGGGGGCTCCGCGCGTTGCCCAACGCACCTGGCCCCGCCCCACGTGCGGCTAATTAGCGGCGGGGGAGGGGCGGCTCATTAGGGATGCGGGCGCGCACGGCGCCTCGGAGGCAGTCGGCGGGAGGAGCGGCGGCAGCGCGGGGCTACGGGCACAGCTCCGGCTCAGTGCGTGCGGGGGGGGGGGGGGTGAGGATTAGGCGAGAGGAGGGGAGGAAAACAGGAGGGGGGGGGGAAAGACAACGCGGGAAACGACTTCTCTCTTCACCTGCGGCTCCGGCGGAGGTTTGCAGCCTCAGCTCCGGTCGAGGAAGGAGCGGAGTTGCGGGGCCAGCATGGGCGGAGGGGCTGAGAGGGGCGGCTGTGCCCCGCGCCTGGAGCTGCTGCTGTTCCTGGGTCTGTGCGGCCGCGCGGCAGCGCTGAGAGGTAAGCGGGATCCCCAAGCCATCCCTCCCTGGCAAGTTTGTAGACGGAAACCCTCGGCCGGCCCCGAGCACCGGTTGCTCTGCTGGGCGAACCCCCGTCATTTACAAAAACAAAACAAAAAAAACCTCTCCCCACTCCATAACCCCACGGGATCGCGGTGGGAGGCGAAGCGGATATGCCCCAACGTTGGGGTAAGGGGAATAGAGCCCTGCAGGAGAGAAACGGGGGCCAGGGACCGAGGGCGGGACGCAGCTCGGCACTGCGGGCTCCGGGCTGCGGAGCATCCTCGGGAATGCGGCGTGTGCGGGGCTGCGGGCAGCGCTGGGATACCCGCAGCGGTCGCGGGGAGTGGCGGAGCCGTCCCGAAATGATGGTGCTGCGAGATCGTGGACTGTTCTGACAGCGAGAGAATCCAACACCTGGCAGACAATGCGAGTGTCTGCGCTTGGGTGCGCGTACGCGCGGTGTTATTGATGTACGTGCGATGTCGGGGTCCGTCCCCACCTCCAGCCTGGCACTTCGGTACGTTGAGCTCCGATAGGGCCGGGCACCGCGCATCGTTGGACCCGGTGCTGTGGGCTGCACAGAACGTTCCCTCCTGCTGTTGCGGTTTTACAGTGCAAACCTGCAGCAGGCTTTGTAGATCCGAGCACATCCCTCTTGTTGTCGCCTTTCTCGATCTCTCCCCGCTGGGGCTGTGCCTCCATCTGCTGCTGTGGGACACCATCCTCTGGTCGGGCATTGCCCGTGGGTCAGACGTGGGGCTGGGCCACAGGTGGCTGCTGGGCAAAAGCATCCCTTATAGAACTGAACTGAAAGATGAGAATGGGAGGAAGGCTGATATTACTTAGTATTTATTTCAAAAGGCATTTGTGACCATAAGGGACTGCATGTGTGTTTAGTTTAAATCGGTGTTTCATATGCATCTGGAAGGACTCTGGGGTGGATCTCATATTGGGAAGTGTGGTTGGGATCAGGCCCCGTGAGCCTCAGAAATGTCACTGCAAACCGTGTGGGGTGTAGTGGGGCTGTTGCTGTTAAAGAGTTTTAGTTGTTCAACTAAAATTTCCCATCCAGGACATTTCAGGCTGAAATAGGATGGGTTTGGGAGTTGTGGGTATCCTTAGGGTCAGCTGGTGGCTGCGGTCTCTGAGCTGTGATGTGCTGTCTTTGGTTGTGGCTTTGGCCGAAGCAGTGAAGCCCAATCACCGACCTGCTGAGCTGTAAGGGATGCAGGTGAAGTTATCTTCAAGCCCCCTCTGAGACAAATGGTATTCCGAGATCCTGGTTTGAACTGAGTTTGAAGAGAAATGAAATGACTGTAGATAACCTTCACGCTGCATTTGTCTGTTGGAAGGAATGTCTGTGCATTGCTTTGGGCTTTTATTTTACAGCAAACAATGCATAGACACTGAGGGAATTTGAAAACGAGATGGAAGTTGCTAATATTTTTTTAATCTCATTGAGGTATTGAAACTAATTTTAGGTTGCATGTATCCAAGTGAAGATGTCTCTAAAATGTGAATGCTGGTTTTGCTCTGCATCTCGATATTAAAGCCTAAAGCTACGTGTTTCATTGTGTTCCTACATCTGTGTGCATTTTGTTGTAAATAAGCACCGTTTAGGGATTTTCCTTCTCTTGTTGCAACAGTATCAGTGCAGCCATTGCTTCTCACTTCTGGTTTTATTACAATAAATGCTCCTCTAAGCCTCCTCATGGAACAGGGCATGGCTGAGAGCGAGCCATAGGAGCGGGTGTCTCAGTTTGGAATTGAGGGATTTTTATTTTTTTTTTAATTTGACTTTTTTTTTTTTTGGTTTTTTTTTTTTCTTTTGTGTTTTTTTTCTTTTTTTTTTTTTTTTTTTTTTCTTAATATCACCTCTCTGGTCTGGAGAGCTGTGAATTTAAGGCATTGCTCTGATCTGGGAGCTCAGCAGACAAACCAGGTTCTGGGCAACAGAGCTCTTGGAGGAATAACGCTTTAGGAAGATAAAAGCAGTTGATGCTAAGATGAATCCAATGGCAGGGACAGGACTGATAGGTGAGTTGTTTGTGTCCTGGTTCTACCTCTTGTCTGGAATTTAATGCCATCCTTGTGCAAATTAGATGAACTTCTGTTTGCTTCATTGCGAACGGGCTGGAATTGCATTTGTGTATCTAGATTCTCTCAGTATTTGCAGTGTACCTCATTGCCACCAGCTTAGAGCAGCCCGGGAGCCACCGCTGCTGCTTTTATTTGCAGAGCGACGTGGATTTGCTGCGCTGCATTCAAGGAGCAGGGAGGCTTTTTGTGTCCTGATTTCTGCATCTGAAGGAGGTGTGTTATGGCTGGTGTTGCGTTAGATTGTCTTCAGTTCTCATTCTCTGTTCCTTGTGCCCCGCTGAGAGTAAAGCTGTTTATTTGTTCCTACGTTCACCTGGAATATCTCTCATGTGCCGACCTCAACTGAACAGACGCTGTCAGCATATGGATTTATGTGATCTTAAAGTACAAATGTCACCAGGATCTCAGCAAAGCGGAGGACTGAGATACTAACAACTGATGCGGGGTGAACAAAAATCAAGGAAAAGCTCTCATGAGCTGTGTGCATCAATTGTATGACTGCATTCACACACATCACATAGTTTTGCTGCATGAGGAAAAAGCATTCATTAAAACAACAAATCCCATCTCTGAGCCATCCTTCTACTCACCGTGCCTTTGTTTCTCTGCCAGTGTTTGTATCTACTTCTCAGCTGCTCAGGGAAGAAACTTCTTTGACTTGGGGTTGTGGTTACTGAGTAGTTGGTTGCTTCTCTCTGGTCTCCATGAAGATACAAGCTTGCTTTGCTTGTGCTGAGGTCTTGCTTTGTGTATGAAGAGAAAGGAAGGTTTGTGAGAGGAGGATGGAGAAGCCTGGGGGCTCAGAAAGCAGCATTTCAACACTGCCATCAGAACGTGGAAGTTGTTATGCTTTGGGACTGATAGAATCAGTGCATGTATTAGTTCTTTTAAGTCACTGTTCAGTGGTGTGTTGGCTTCCAGTCAGTCCTGCTCTTTTCTGCATCTATTGCTGTGCTCATCTGCTATAGCATAGTTCATGAGAAGAGGTGGGATAGAAGAAGCATTTCTATTGAGTGTGAGGCTGACTTTGGACCCTCTGTAGAAGGGGGATCCACTTATTGGGATCGTTTTAATTTGTTCTGTGATTTACTTGGGTGTATTGCTGCATTGCTCAGAGCACACTGAATTTATTTCCTGCATCCTGTTGCAGCCAACATTGGTGCCAAGTACTGCTTAGACAGAAAGCTGAGGAGTTGCACATATGATCCTATGTTGGAAGTGTGGTGCACACATCTCCATTCCGCTGTTCCTTTCTAATGTGTGCATCTCTGGGTGATATTCCCTCCTGTCTTTCCATAAAGGAACTCCTTCCCTGCAAAGCAGTGTGTTGCAGTGCTGCTTCTCCCTGGCTCCTCATTGTACACTTGTGCTTCTCCACATCCACACAGTAGAGCTCTGCAATTCCTATCTCTTCTGATGCAAAGAATGAAGCTCGAGCTCTGCAATGATGAAATGAGCTTTCCAAGCTATGAAAGAAAATGTCCATCTTCACAGAGGCAGGGGACTCTGTATCAGGCTGAATTGTTAGCAGTGAAGAAGAGAAGCTAATCTGATGGTTGTTTCACAGCGAATTACAGAACGCAAACATCAACAGTCTGATACAAGCCTAGATGGAAAATTACTTATGGTGCAAAGGATCCCACAGGGCCATCTGATGTATGTTTGCTGTATTTTCAGCCCTGCTTTCTGGGGAAAGGTGGAGTCAGAGGGAAGGAGCAGAATGTTAACACCAGAGGCTGCTGTTTCTGTTGTTTTCAGCAGCTGCCGCTGTTGCAGTGCAGCAGATGGTCAGCTTCATTTCTATGAAATGGTTTTGTTTTTTCCATTTCTACTTTTAGAGAACCTCAATTGCCACACTATATCACACTGCATCACCTTACAACATCATTATTTGTAAATGCCATTTTTTTTTTTTTTTATGCTTAACCATATCTTACGTGGTCCATAAACCACATTGGAGAGCATCTTGCCAAGAAGGCATCGAAAGCTTCTAATTTAAATACACGATTTGGTGACCTCAGCCTCAAAATTCTACCTCCACCACTTTGGTTTGTGGTTTTTGTCCATTTCCCCCTTCCCACCTCCTTTTTGAGGCCTTTTTTAAAGCAGCAGCCAGGAACAGCAGCAATAAAGAAGTGCTCATTGTGGTGCAGTTCCATGTGTTGGGGTGATGAGTGGCACCCAGTGCCCCCTGCTGGGGTTTGAGGCTGTGTTTGTGTTTTCCTTCAGTACTTTGAAGGCACACTGGATGCTTCTCTACATAAAATGGTGCAATAAAAGAGCTCAGCTTATGTGCAGATGAAACCTACTGAGTATGTCTGGAGATGAGCAGTGTAAGCAAAACGAGTGCAGTAGGAAATAGTGTTGGTGGGTGGGTGGTGATGGTGGTGTTCCTTATATTGGTGCCTGTTGTAACAGTAGGAAAACTTGAAAATCAGAAGCTTTTTATTTATTATTCCTGTGCAAAACGTCCAAACTTTGCAGCTGTCAGGAAGCACAGAACACACAGCACACCTGCTCTTACCTTTATGCTGAATGGGCAGTTGCTTCAAGTTTGGATGTATTCTCTTTTTTCTCAGCAATACATTTTGTGGATCTCCACTGTTTCTTCTTCAAGCACTTCTGCATGTGAAATTAAATTGCTGGAGTCCTGGCAGACAATGGGTGTGAAAGGAGCAAACGTGGAGGCTTCTTAGAAGTGCTGAATAGTTACTCACAGAATGGCTTCCATGCTTACAATGCTCCTAATAATAGATTGCATTGCCGAAAAACAAATTTGCTCTATTAATTGAATTCACCTGTCATATGAAACCACATCTGATCTGCAGTTCAACAGATGCGTCTGTGACTTTTATGGTGACAAATGCTTCAGGTTAGCAGTGTTTTGGGCCAGAT